TATATAATACAAATACCGTAAAAATATTTTTGTATTAATAAAAGCAATGAAACTCTTTCGTTTTCATATAATGCAGATATTCTATTTTGGGACTCCAAGGTTGAAAACATACCAATGAATAATAATTAGATTTATGTTTCAAAAGAGGACTTATTTTAAGATCTTTTACTTCCATATAAGGAAGGATTAAACAATTTTCTATGAGTATTATATGATTTGCGATGAGGCGTAGGAATACAAGAAATGCATTATGGCTGCCCTTTTTACCCATTTTAATTATCGTATAAAACGGAAGAGCAATGGTTTTAGCGTGGCTTTTTATGTTTTACGTGTGCTAACAAAAATCCGTCAGATTGGACGGGATCTGTGTGTCTCCTCCTCCAGCCATGGGGAGGGGCCGAGACGTCTGCCTTCAACATCTATTACTAAATAAAAAATCAGTGCCGAAAATAGTTTCTTCATTCCTGTAATTTTGACAATTATTACATAAAATATCGGGGCTTGGTCCCCAGATATTATATGAAATATCAGGGCAACAACCCCGATATTTTTTGCCTTATTCGTGAACATAACCGGAATAATGAAGTCATTTTCTGCATAATCTTTTTAATTTACTAAACGATGGTGAAAGCATGCATCTCAGCCCCCTCCAAGCTGGAGAGGGGGAGACCCATATCCCGTCGAAACTGACGGAATTTAGTTAGGCATTATAAACTACAAAAAGCCATGCAAAAATCATTGCTCCTCTGCTTTATACGTTAATTAAAATGTGTGAAGAGGCCAGTCATATTGCATTCCCTGTATTCTTACGCCTCATCAAAATTATTTATTACTCATAGAAAATCATTTAATCCTTCCTTATATGGTAGTGAAAGATCTTAAAATAACTTCTCTGTTGAAATATAAATGTAATTATTATTCATTGGTATGTTTTCAGCCTTGAAGTCCCAAAATAGAATTTCTACACTTATCCTTTACCGAAGATATTTTATGAAAATATTCCTCAGGATTTCGATCCTGAGTAATCTGTATTCAGAGCAGTCTCTCCTGGCAGCAATAACAGCAGTTATTCTCCTAGGCATCGAGTCAAACAGAGATTGGATAGCATGGACGGGCACAGCATTCCTAGCAGCTTCAACATTATGCCACAATTCATCGACCGTAGTGACTGACGAGTGGTGGCGAGCCAGTCGTTCTGTAACCATTGACCAGACGTTTTCAGTTGGTGTGAGATCAGGAGAACGTGCTGGTCAAGGCAATAGGCGACCATGTTCTGTGTCAGTGAAGGTCAGGACAGTCGTGCATTGTCCTGCTGAAGCGTAGCATAATGGAGGCCTCGAAGATATGGCACAGCAATTGGCCCTAACACATCAGAAATGTAACTGCTTTTCTTCAATGCGATTAAGAGGTGATCGAGTCGTGTATCCAATGACACCCCATACCATTACTCCGGGCGATGGGCTAGTATGACGATGTCGAACGCCAACGGATGTTCTCCACGATGTCCCTAAACACGGATGAGGCCATCATGATGCTGTATACAGAACCTGGATTCGTCTGAAAAGACGACGTCATGCCATTGCTGCGTCCAGGTTTGTCATTAATCACACCATTAGAGGCGCTAATAATAATCTACTGTGATTGGAAGTTTGCTAATATTCGTTTGGGAGATTTGCTATTTGTGGGGCTGCAGACGTGCTTTGTACAATTGTATAAACGATGGTCGATGAATTTGCATAAAAAAAAGAGTAAAAAATTGGCGTTCGGGAGCGAAAGTGAAAGTAATGTTGATAATTTTTCAAATGATGAAGATGTGAACATATACAAAGACTAATATTTAATTTTTTTCATTTGCCCGAGATAATTTGGGACAGTAAACTGATGGTAATTTATGTATTTTTTTGCTTAAAAAGTTAAAATTTCAACTTATAACTTGTGTATTATGTTTTGTTTTAGTTCCTTGTATTTATTAATAAAAGGAAAAAAAAAGTTAATTTTTGCATTTTTTTTCCTTCAAAAAAATTGGTCCGGGAAGCGATTAAAACATTATGTTTCCTTAATTTTTCTTTACACTTTCAAAAATGTTTTACTTTGCAGTTTTAATTTACAGAGATGTCATCACAGCTAGAACTAGAACGTTTACGATTAAAGAATTCCGATATCAAATGAGTCATAATTTTTTTAAAATATTAGGCACTAGTTATGAATATCATTTATTATCAACGCGTAAGAAAATAAATTTTTTCAACAGTTAAATGTGTTTATTGTTAACATGAAAGAATACCTTTTTCTTACAATTATGAAACAAATAGGATGATTTTAATAATAAATACCCTTTTATCAGATCTCTCGTAATATGAGCACAATATTTACAGAATATTATACAGATTAACCACTGCCCTCAATATTTTAGACTCTTTATTCCACATCAAGTCATTTTAGCGAACGCTTTAGGGATTTCAAATAATCATTTAAGCGATTAACAGAATTTAGTTATCAAAAACAAGATGATCTAGGACAAGGATAGTTATTGTAAAAGGTTAAATAATTAATTAAATAATGAAATAATTAAGTTAATTAGATAATTATAAATTAATTAAAAATAATTAAAATAATTAATAAAGTAATTAAAAAAATTAATTAAAATAATTGAAATAATTAATAAATTAATTAAAAAAATTAATAAATTAATTAAATTAATTAATATAAATTAGGTAATAATTAATTAGTTATAAATTAATTATAAATGAATTAAATTAATTGATGTGAAATTATAAATTAATTAATTATAAATTAATTAATTATAAATTTATTAATTATGAATTCATTAATTATAAATTTATTAACTTAATAATGAAATAGTTGAAGCAAGTATATTTTTAGGAAGACATTGAAAGACTGCATGATTAATTTTTATTGTTTAAAAGAATTTAGAAGGATTGGATTATAGGAGGTAAATCTGACTTTGGACTATCACTGATTAATAATTTTATTAATCCTGAAGCTTACTATGAAATAGTCATTTAGGACCAGAGACTGCTACTACGTAGGCTCTTATTAATTCATTTTCGAAAAGAGTCTGAAAATATACAGCAAGAGTGGTGTTTAGAGAATATCGCGTATTATATTCAGATATTTCTTCAATTTCTTCCCTCAAGATATTTCTTCAATAGCACAATATTTAAAAGTTTTCTGAAGAATCTCAGTTGAAAAAGTTTTTATGAAATTCCTCGTGAAATATTTAACACATTTCGTTGAATTGTTCTCAAAATTACCAACGCATGAATTAAAATTATGGTGACAAACATTTTAATAAAATCTACAATATGCCTAACAATTTTTTATGAATAATAAAAATGAAATTTAAATTATTTATGAAAAATACAGTACATAAAATTTTGTGCGAAATGATAGCCATACAAGAAAATTACACAAGAATTGATTTAAGTTATAAATGTTATAAAATCATGAAAAATGAATCATGTATGATTGAATAATACAACATATCCTTCTATAATACAAATGCAATTTTAGTTCAATAGTATCACATATTTGTCATGAATGTTATAACGTATTCATAATGAACAATTTTCCTTTAATTGTTGAAAATATGATTAGTCCAGTTTCTTTCTCAATATTGGTGACAAACAGGATATACTTTTCTTAATCTAATCGGAAAAACTGAATTTTAACAACAGTTTTGTGTCGTCCTTGCCTGGCTGTATAATATCAATATTCCTTGTATTTTATAGAAATATATATGTTTCAATTTTGAAAAATTGTTTTACAGCAGATTTGAGCTAATTTTTTCTAAGACTTGTAGAAAATGTCTTCAGCAGACTTGGCCTAAAGACTGCTGAAAAAGACAAAAACAGAAAAATGGGTGATGGATAAATTTGATATAGATCTATAACTTGACTTTATCAGGGGAATTCTTCTTCAAACACGTGACCACATGGCATGTTATGACGTGGAGCAACACGAGTTATAGTGATGCAAAGTCATTATATTGTTGACGAGGAGGTTTTTTCCACTCCTGAAACTAATAGTTCTTCTGCATAGTAAAACAGTTTTATAAGCTTGACAGATCTGATCAAATTATATTTTGAGTGAATCAGACGGATTTTTCTTCAAACACTGAATCTGGACCACATGACATACTATGAGGTGGAGCAACTAGAGTTATAGTGGTTCGTAACCCAGTAGAGTCATCATGTTGTTGATGAGGAGGATTTCCACCACTGAAACTGAGAGCTCTTGGTCTTCTGCACAGTAAAACAGTTTTATAGGCTTGTCTATATTGCTTATTTGTGATACCATAAATCACTGGGTTTATGCATGCACTTAAATAGATCAGCAAATATCCAACAATGTGTAATTCAGGACGCTTCACTTCTTGGTCTGCAACCTGAAATAGTAAAATCACGGTTAAGAATGCATATGGCATAAATATATTTTTTATAAAGATAAGTAGTGGTGGTAGTGGTATTTCATTTACGTTGCACTAGAGCTGCACAATGAGCTATTGGCGACGGTCTGGGAAACATCCCTGAGGATGATCCGACGACATGCCATCACAAGTTTGATACCCCGCACCCCCGCTTCGGTAGCCCGACGACCTGCATATGAGGTCGAGCAGTTTACGGTAGAACAGTTTAACGAGAACCAATACCGCACACCTTCGGTTCCTACGCAGACTGATCTAAGTGATCACCCACCCGCACACTGACAGCAGCCAGTGATGCTTGACTTGAGTGATCTGCCAGGAACCATGTGTAAATGATCAGTCCACTGCGGGACTGAAAAAGATAAAATATTGTAATAAGCAAAAATAAGAAAATTAATATACAGGGTGTCCCAAAAGGTCGTTTACAAACTTAGCATGCTGGTCTGTCATATCATGATGAACNTGGTGGTAGTGGTATTTCATTTACGTTGCACTAGAGCTGCACAATGAGCTATTGGCGATGATCTGGGAAACATCTCTGAGGATGATCCGACGACATGCCATCCCAAGTTTGATCCTCTGCAGGGGGGATGGCACCCCCGCTTCGTTAGCCCGACGACCTGCATATGAGGTCGTGCAGTTTACGGTAGAACAGTTTAACGAGAGCCAATACCGCACACCCTCGGTTCCTACGCAGACTGATCTAAGTGATCACCCACCCGCACACTGACAACAGCCAGTGATGCTTGACTTGAGTGATCTGCTGGGAACCATGTCTAAACGATCAGTTCACTGCGGGACTTAAAAAGATAAAATATTGTAATAAGCAAAAATAAGAAAATTAATATATAAATAATTATAGATTAAATTTTGTTCTTTGTATTTATGTTTTTTTAAAACGGTAATTTTGTAGTTAAAATCAGTTTATCAAATGTGACGCAGCAAAAGTATTTTACTCTTAACTATTTTATTGTTTCACAAAATATCTCCAAATAAACTTTCCAAATACTGCGTTAAAATATAAGAAAGTACTACAACTTCCATAAAAATAACTTCCAAATGAAATTCATAGATTTCAACTTAAATATAGACTAACAATATGGAGAAAACTTATTAATACTTTTATAACTGTTTAATATTACTGTAAATTTTTGATTTTTTTTTTATCTTAAATTAAATAGTAATAACGTAAGTTATTTATCATTTTAAAATGAAATTGACAATAGATCATTGAGCGTCGAACTACCATTAGATTATGGCATTTAATTTTCAAATAGTTTTTATTTAGAAATTTCAACTTTTTAGAAATGAATACCATGAACTAAGAGCAATTTAACAACCCAATTAATCAGTTTTCAAGTTCATTTGTTTTCGCATTCTCTGTATTTAAATTCTTTGTTCCTTTCAACATTTTTAGTTTTGAATGATTTGACTTTTAAGGTAAGCAAAGCAGTTCCGATAACAGTTGAATTTTGGCATATTTTAGGTTTTTAATTTTTGAACCTACTAATAAAATCAAAAATTAAGGTTGTACAATTTTCTATTTTTCATTCGATCCAACCATTGGCAATTTAAATATACGTAAAATATTTCTATATTTTATCTATAATATTTCTTTGCTATTATTTTTAACTGAACAACAGAAAAAAATCTAGCATCTTCCTTATACGACGTCAGTGAGGTTTATTTTCCATACATGCAGTTTATTTATTATTTTTTGCTGTATTATTTTTATTTAGTATTTTTTAATATTGTGTGCATTCTCTATTAAAATATAATTTTTTTTTATCGACAAGAGAGTTGTTAGTTGAGGATGATATGACGAATAAAAAAAATTTTAAGTCCAGAATTTGAATAGCATTAAATTATTCAGTCTATGGTACATTTAACTTGGAATTTCGACGAAGATTTTTTTGAGCATTATTGAAACAGTTGAAATAATTGTATTTCAAGCCATTCGTCCCTTTTTACATAAGTAATAGTCATCATCCTACTTAAAATTACCATTTTTTATAAACCTCCTTCTGTCGATTTACAAGTCAATAAAATCACCCAAGGTAATAAAGCTTTTACGCTATTCAGTGGATGAAAATGTTTTGCTACATTTAGAAACATTTTATCTTTTCTTTTTCAAAGCTAAATTTGCAATGGCACAATGTTGAAACAATTGAAAGGCACAAAAGCCGTAAATACAGGTTTTAAGAAGATGCTAATCCATTCAAAAACATGCAAGGCAAGCAGTGATTTTCTCTCTGCAATTATTTTTAAGCTCTTTTAGAAAAGAAAAGAAATTTGATGAAAGACGGGGAGATAAAGAAAGAATCACCAACATTGTAGTTAAAGTACTGTAATAAAAGTAATTCATGAGTAATTTCACGGCAGTAACAACTATGCAAAATGATGGTTTAGACAGAATGATTTCATGCTCGATTCCGAGTATCGGTCTATTTATCAGTTGGAGGAAAAGATGTTTCAACGACTTAAGAATCCTTCTAAATAAAAAAGAATAAAATCGGCTGATTCTTGTCATCATTTAACGACCATGAAGGATGCTTTACGACATGATAATTGGCCTATATTTAGGATTCGAAATGTTGTTTGTGTAGTACCAGATTGGTTTGATAATATTATTAAAAGGTAGTAAAATAACGGACATTGGAAATTAAAAACGTTCCGGACAATGCAGGTTCGTAGAAAAGAAAGACGCGTATTTTTAGTTTAGAATACTGCACGACGCTGTCTTATACACGGCCAAAAAAATTCACGGTAATGACATTTCTGCTAAAAAATAAAGAATAATACTGGTTAATAAATGCAAAATATACGGTATTTAAACAATTCATTTGGTATTTTTTTAGTTCGTATGTACGTAGTTTACAGGAAATTCTTTTTTTTCAAAATTATAGTTCTTATTACCACACATTTAGTATAAAATACAAAACTGCAAAGTGAATTTTACCTAGTTAATTGTTTTTTATGCCATGCTCTATGATACCATGATAAAATTACCAAATTTTACTACATTTACCAAATTTTATCGCATACTGTAAAACTATATTTTATTGTTAATTTTACCCAAGTCAAGTGCCCAAGTGACTCGGTGAAATTTACCGAGTGATTTTCTGTTCTCATAGAACCAGAAACATGGCAAATTTTACATATTCTTATAGTTTCGATCATGCTTTTTTTCTCTCAGTGTATGTTTCCTAACGAAAGTTGAAAACGAAACTACATTTTTCGTGCAAAAGTATTTTTCATTCCGTTTTTTAAAAGCTAATAGAAATGCACATTTTTATGAGAGAAAAACATGAATCTTCCATTGTGTTTTCAAAGGCTAAAGAAGGGTAATGAAAGGTTTTAATAATGGTTGAGGAATTATTTTCCTAATTATAGCATTTTAAACAATGTGACAAATTTTCGAGGCGCTTCATAAATATGAATGAAATATTTCAGTAATTCTTACAAAAAACAAGCATTATTATTATTAGTGCTTAGTAAATAAATTAAAACGTTTTTGTGACTTCTTAAAACATCTTTGTGAATCGGAAATTTTAAAACTTGTAAATTTCAAAAATGTTAAAAACATCTTAAACTTTTTCATATTTTTATTTTTTACACTGTTAGAATTTTCATTCTAAAATCACTGTAAAATGGCCGGCAACAGTCTGTCCATCCGATTCCAGTAAGGTTTGCAGTAAAGAACATTTTTTACCTTTACGGTTTTGAGACCACTGACAACTAGTATGGTTAAAAAAAACATGAATACAAAGCTACATGGCTTTTTAACCATTTACAACTAGCATGGTTTCAAAACCGTAAAAAGGAAAGCTCACTTGACATTGCAGCTTGGTTTTCGTCAGGCAATGAGCATTGGGAGTTAGGTTGTGGTTGAGTTGTGTTTCATCAAATGAACCGTTGAATATGATATAATTAGTTTATCTGGCTATTTCACCTATTGTAAGAGATGAGAAATCTGGTGTTAAGTAGTTTTATACGTGATTGAGAGGTTCAGGGTCACAAATTAGAGTGCAGGACACGGAAAACTCACTCTTCATGTATTGAAAGGAATGGAGGAATTATTGTGGTGGCAAAGCTGGTACTCGAACCCCCGTCCTATTGGTCATGAGATTGACAGATTATCCCTCTTGGCTATAATATGCACCTAGTTAAAAGGATCTAAGTGGTTTCATTACTTGGGCCAAGTTAGTGCGATAAAATTCTGGTTGCTTAACCGTATTAAGTGAAAGCAAGTTAATAAACGGGTTTTCCCACAGTTAACAGTTTGAATATCATTTTATTTATAATTATTTGACTGTTTTGTTTGAATATGGTAAAGTAACAATTAAATAAATTGTTATTTAACCACTTTTCCGAGAAATTTCTAACAGTATATGGGAGACGAATGGTGCTTAGAAAACGTACAAATTCGCGTTTAGTATCGTAACTATTAAGATTAAAAATATACAAAATAGAATAATAACCATGCATTTTGATTTCATCAAAATCATGTACCTTATTTGTCGTGTTAATCAGGCCTAGAAGAACTTATTAACATAAAAATTAACTAGCAAATGCATTTTAACTTGAATATTTGTTTAAGAATTAATATTCAACAATAACTATTATATATTTTTTGTTTTGTCGAAAACTCAAGTACCATTTAAGAAAAATACGAAATTATTTTTGAATAAAAATTATTATTTAACTCAGAATAAGGATTTCAAAAGTTATTTATTTAGTTTTTAAGAACAAACTAAAGCTCTTTAGAAATAAAATTCTTTTCTTCGAAAGAAAATATCTCGTTATCTTCAGTTTTATGCTTAATGTGCTATTTGGTACTAAAATGCATAAAATAATAAAAATAACCCATAAAAAGAAAAGGTAAAATATTTCCTAAAACATTTTTGAATGCTCTTAAATGGATGAAGTTAAACTTATGAAAATGAAATATAATATTTTAAGTTAAACTTTGCAGAATGTAGAAAATCTTGAATCGCTTGGGTGATTTACTTCGGAGATTTCTTATTGTTCATTTTTTATAATGGCTGGAATGTATGGAGATTTTATGATAATGTTTTGGGGATTTTTATATTTGAAGACATGGCATTATTAGGATTGCGAGAAATATAATTTTTCAACTTTAAAGGGACTAAGTTATTTCTTCGAATTTATTTTGTGTTTAATTCAGTGAAAAGTTTAAAATGTAGATAAATTTGACAAAGCCATAAGAAATGAATATGTTTGAAACAAAATCTGCTTTGCAGGATTTTTCTGGATCTTTCTTTTGCTCAATTTTTGCTGTTAAGTAGCTTATTTAAAGAACACAATAAAATTATGAAGGAAAAATAATAATAATATTGTAAAAATGTTTTTTCCTATCTATAATTTTAGCAGAGTACGTAATTGTTTCTGTTAAAAGTATAAATATATTTTTTAAAATTATGATGCATAATTTCCAACGTTTCTTTAGTACCCGGTGTTGCTGCTTGATCATTATAATAAATAATAGAGGTCACAAAGTAAAACAAGGGCCATTTGGGGCAAACGAATTAAAAATGCTGCGTCAAAATCTAACGAGTCGATCAGAGAAAAGATTGATATAAATTATAACTGAAACCTACATTTTAGGTAGGTTCTTCATTTGCGTCGCTCCAGAGAAGCACAATGGGCTATTGGCGACGGTCTGGAAATGGACCCGAAGACATGCCATTGCAATTTTGATCCTCTGCATGGGGGATGGCTCCCCTGCTTTGGTAGCCCGACGACCTGCCCTCGAAGTCGAGCTCTTTACGACAGAACAGTTCAACGAGAACCGATACCACGCACCTTCGGTCACTGCGCAGGCTGATTAAAGCGGTCATTTACTGCAGCCAGTGTGTTTTACTGGGAACCGTGTCTTTACAATCAATCCTTTGAGGGGAAAACCTATATTTTAGATAAAATTAAAGAGGTTAAAGGTTTTGGTTAGGAACTTTTAGATTCTTTCGATTAAAAAATATGATTCCTTTTTGATTTTTTTTAAAAAACTGGTTATCTTTTCTAGGTTGACTCTTGATGACTTACGAAATATCTACTGTTTAAGACTGTGTACAATATTTAGGTAAGCGTTTGGGTCACGTTATTTTTAATTTATTAATGAAGTTTATTAATCATAATTATCATTTTCTTTTAATTTGAAAGAGATTAACATTATAATATCCCTTTCTTTAATTCATAGAAAGAAAGGATTGGAAGAAATAATATATAAAAAGTTGCATCTTTTAATTGTTCGGGATAACCCTTCTTTGAAAAACCATTTTGTTGGTGAAAAACAGCACAATTTTCATGTAAGTAACAAATCTCTTATGTGTATTGATCTCTTATCTTGAGTAAATTATTACTATTATAAAGTATCGGAACATAATACTAAGAAACAGTTTCATGCAAAATTTTCTCTTTAAAAAGGATTGGCTTATCACTTTATTGATCAAGCCTTCAAGTTATGTTTTTTGCGAATTTTTCATTGGGAAACTTAAATGACATTTCTAATAGTCCTGAATCTCCATTCTTGGCCCTAATCTTAACCTAGGACCAACCAGATAAAGAACAGACAATATTTCCAACCTAGTTGGAAAATATGTCGCAATTTCAGCTTCATCCCAACAAACTAGAATGAAATTTTAACATAGGGATAAATCTTTTTTGTAAAACAAAACATGTACAGGGCGACTCCATGTTTTTCTCCCAACGTGATGGGGGAATTAGTAAATATATTTGTCAAAAATAATTTTTTTAATGCTTATTTATACCTGAATTATCGTTTTACTAAATCTGAGTACATGAAAACAAATTTATTTACATTCATAAAAATCTGAGTTAAGTAATGATTTTTAATTATCCATCCCCCATTAGAATAGTCCTAAAGTTAGCCAAATTATTAGACGCACTGTAAGATTCTGTGTAAAATTTAATTATCAGGTGATACTATACAACTTTCATGTTTTTACTCTGCTGAAACCGGTTTGCACTCGTTTACGTTCGTGTATCAATTGGTTAACATTGCAATGCAATAAATTAAAAATAAATACGAACAGGAAGTATATAAAAAATCTCCCGAATAAAACCCCATTTACAAATTTTGTTTAAATATAAAAGTATTGCGCATAAACTCGTGCAAAACATGTCATTATTAAAACACTACAGTGCTTCTTATAATTTAGTCTAATTATTATACCTTATATAATATATATTTTATATTTATATAGCATATCGTTTAATTTATCCAATCGTCGAATTTATATTATATATCGTCCTATTTAACCAATTGCTACACGAACGTAAACAAGTGCAAACTGGTTTCAGTCGCGTAGAAACAATAAAGCTGTATAGTATCACCAAATAATAAAGATTTTACAAGGATTCATATAGTGCGTCTAATAATTTGGCCAGGCACTGTAAGTATGGTAATGACAGTGATCTAAAATTATTTATTTGACTTGTGACTGACGAAATAATGGCAAAGCCTAATTGGACAAGCAACGTAAATTTTTCTTCAAGCTAAATTGAAATAACGTTTTTCACTTAACAGCTATTTGAACGTTTATGAAAATTATAATCAATTAGTGCAGCGGTTCTTTTTTGCGAAAAAAATATTCAAGTCATGAATAACAAATAAATGCCAGCAGCAGTCGATTTACCCTTCCGACAGGCCATCATAATTTCCTGCTTAAACTTTCGGTCAAAGTACGTTAAGCTGGAGAAAAGCGAAGCAATTCAATTGGAACCGACGAAAATGTATAATTTGCTTGTAAATTGGTAGACAGAGCTATTTTTAATGGCATCTCCACCCCTATATTAGATAAGTGACGTATCGAAGCATGCAGAGAAAAGTCTCACCTTTACGATGGTTATGGGCAGGTAACAGAGCAGAAACGAGCATAAGATGATCATCCTAGTTACTCCCTCTTTAAGTCCTTCAGTTTCCCGCATTTTACTGGTAAAACCTACCTTTTACCAAGATGGCTTGGTAAAAGTCAGAAGTATTTCTTAATATGATTCCATTTCCGTTAATTAACAAGCTATAGTTACCAATCCACTTTGGTAAACCCTAGGTTTTACCGATAAAATCTAGGATTTGATACAGGAATAATACCAAATCTAGGAATAATACCAAATAACTCTATCTACCAATTTTTGTATTTGGCAACAGTTATTTTTAATGACGTCTCCACTCTTATGTTAGATAAGAAACTTAGTGAAGCGATGGTTAAGGGTAGATAACAGAGCAGAAACGAGAAAATGGTAACCATCATACTACTTACTCCTCATTCCTCTGTTCGTCTTTAGCGCCAGTGTTCTTTCTTTAGTAATTAAAATGTTACGGTAAAAACCCGAAGTTTGGTAAATCCTAGATTTTACTGATGTGACTTGGTGAAAGTCCGTAGTATGTTTCAATATAATTTTGGCTTTTACCATGCTTTTGCTGTAAAATGTAAGAGCTACCAAGCCGCTTTGATAAATCTCACGGGTTTTTACTTCACTTCGAGTTTTCACAGTAACAATAATACCAAATAACTCTATCATTTGTAATAACTCTGTCTACCAATTTTAGAATTGCAGACATATAGTCCCTGGTCAAATTATTAGACGAACTGTAAGATTCTATGTAAAATCTTAATTTGATAATTAAGATTACTAAAGTTGTAGAGTACACTAAAGTTGTAGAGTATCATCTGATGGTGATACTCTACAACTTTAGTGTTTTTACGCGGCTGAAACGGGCTTACACTTGTTTATGTTCGTGTATTAAATGGTTAACATTGCAACGCATTACGTTAAAAATAAATACAAATGTGAAATATATATATAAAAAATCTCCTCTATAAAAGCCCATTGCATTTATGTTTAAATATAAGACTATTGCATATAAACTCGTCAAAACATGCAATTATAAAAACACTACGGTACATCTAATAATTTGGTCTAATTATTATAATATACTAATATAATACCTGATATAATAAATATTCTACCTTTACCTAATATATAGTCTAATTTATCCAATTGTCAAATTTATATTATATATTGTCTAATTTCGCCAATTTATACACGAACGAAAGTAATTACAAACCAGTTTCATTCACATAAAAACAATAAAGCTGTATAGTATCACCTGATAATTAAGATTTTACATAGAATCTTATAGTGAGTCTATTAATTTAGCCTGGGACTGAAGTTATTGTTAATGGCATCTCCAGCTTTATATTAGATAAGTGGCGTATCGAAGCATGCAGAGAAAAGTCTTACCTTTACGATGGTTATGGGCAGGTAACAGACCAGAAATGAACAGAAGATGATAAGCACCATCCGAGTTACTCTCCATTCTTCTTTACGTCTCTTAGCTTCTCGATCCTTTCTTTGGGCTGAAGTTTCTGTTGATGAATGCTTTAGGATTCGAGCTCGACTTTTGCGAACTACCCAGAAGATTCGAGCATAGCAAATAGCTATGGCCAAGCATGGTACCACGAATCCAAAGACGAAGAGGAAAGTCTTTGAAGATTGGCCGTTGGTTTCTAGTATGGAGCAGTTTAGGATAGCAGGGTCGTAGCCGAATCTACCCCACTTACCAAGCAACGTTGGTAATATCATTGCCGTAGAGAAACACCAGATAAATACGATCATGGCAGCGATATAGCGTTTTCTGTATACCTAAAATTACAGAAAAGGAAAAAAGTTTAGTACATGTTTAGAATTTCTTACATCATATTGTATAAATGTATTATTATTTTTAATTATTTGTATAGGGAAAACAAGAATGATTTAACACGTTGCTCAAAAAATATGGTTTTTAAAGAAATAATTAAACTTTCTGGATTTAATATGTGTTATCTTCGTTTTTCACGTGTTTATATTATTACATTTCTGCTTAAATTATAAAAAAAAACTCTTTATATTAATCATTTTTCAAGAGTGTAAAAAATTTATCAAACCTCTACACTTGAGGGTTTGAACTTATCTGAGGGGGGTTTAGAAATTAAAAGAGTTATTAAAAATTATACAGAAATAATTAGGGGCTTAAAAATGTTACTGGCAATAATTGTATCTAAAAATGTTAAGTATTTATATACTGTTGAAAAATACCAAAATTGCCCTTTACTGCTGATTTGGTTTTCGTAAATACATTTAGTTTGTAGCAGTAAACTAAACGACACAACAAAACAGTTGAACAACAGTTGAATAAGAGTGAGGACGAAAATAACAGTAGAACTTGCTATTAGAGCGTCAGGTAGAAGAAAGTTGTTCAAATCGTAACTCTCCCAGATCGTAGCCCTTTTGATTTCAAACGAAATATTGTATAGAAAATGTGGCTATCCATGCCAAAGAATCAAGATGCTGTGTATTTGCAGTAAGCTTTTATTGAAGTTAATCAGTGCTTCAATTTTCAAACATCATGTATAAGGATACAGCAATGTACAAATTATTTAGTACATCATATAATAATTAAAAAAAGTTATTTTGTAATGTTCTTCTTGCGTTGCTAACTAAATGTTGATTAGGGGTTGGTACAACACTTTGTTTAAAATGTTACATAGTTGTCGTACAGATACGATACCTACCGAAATTCTGAGATCGAGATTCAAACCATTTAAATCACACATACGCCGAAAAGTGGTTGAGAACTATTTCAAAATTAACATTCACCTTTTATCAAATTTCTTATGTCGTGAGGGACTTCAACGATTAAGAACAATGATTAAAATGATTTTAAGTAATCTGGTGAGTCAATTAAAATGTCTCTTGGACAGCAGAGAACCTCAATGCACAATTGAACCAGTCGAAAAAACGCGAAATTATTTCACTAAGATTAACCAGATTTGATATCCTTATGATGAGATATATTTTCGTTATTTAATTAGAAGTGCTGAGCCTTTTTGTTAGTGATCTAGAAAATATTTGTTGGTTATGGGATTTGATTTATAATTCTTTCACCAGGAGTAGGCACTTGGCTCCTCTGAAGCTGAGTTCATTTTAGCGTGGGAGTGAGAGGAGAAACATCTTCGCATTTGAAATTGAGACAACCCTCAAAGCGTGTCAAACACAAACAGTGAATTCTATTGTACCTTTCGTTACTCTAGCTAATAAAATATATTTTAAATTTAAAAACTGCTGTTTTTCCAGAAAAATGCCTCAAAAAGGACAAACTATTCATTCAAAAGAGAGAAATATCATCAAATTTATGAAATATTTAAAAAAATGCTCATAAAAGATAGTGAAATGAATATTTTTGTCATACGATCGCCAAATAGCAACCTTGTTCAGGATTGTTCACATCCTTCTCCCAAAAATAGCGAAATAGTATCGTCGAATATCACGTGATGTAGACGGAGCCACGTGCCAACTCCTGGTGAATGAACTATACCAATCTGTCTCAGTATCCTCTATTATGAAAGCTACAATCGAACCGATTTTCCTTTTTTTAAAACCTAAGAAGAGGAAATTTGGAAATTCATCCCAAAAAGATACAGTCTTAACAAGCAGTAGTTATACTTTGTAGCACAGGACATCATGGTCCATAGTATTGTTACTATATTTGAAATTGTTCAAAAATTCAATATTTATGATATTTAGCATTTGCTTTGGGTTACACATGGTCTACTTGTTCAATTGTATTTCTGAGATTGGTATGATCAATGGTTTAAGGAGCAGGTGGTACGAATTAAGCAACTGGTTTTCTCAATTACTCTTTGCAAAACTTGCGAAAACTAATTTTCAACACTTACAGAGCAAATAATACTACTAAAAAACTATATAAATAGCTGAACAACTGTTTTTTTCTTATTATTGAAATATTTAAAATGTAATTGTCAGAGATTTTTGACAGATGAAAATTTAATTGTAAAAAATGCTACCAGTGATTACTGAACCACCACTGCAGTATTTTACAAGTTAGAACATTTCGCTTTACTGCTGAGGCACATACAATCAATAGAGCTTAGTTCTATAACTTCGTTTGTTTATATTTATCGAAGTTTAAAACATAGATTTGAGTAGTTTTTTTTTATTTTAAGCTTCACTTTTGGAAATTTCTCGGAAAAAATGACTAAATAACAGTTTATTTAATTGTTATTTTACCATATATAAATGAAATAGTCAAATAACCATAAATAATACGGTATTTAAGCTGTTAACTGTGAGAAAAATCACTTATTAACTGCTTTCATCCATTACGGTTAAACAAGCAGAATTTTTTCACATCAACTAGGCCCAAATGATGAAGCAATTTATTTCCTTGAAGATGGGTACATATTATAACCGAGAGAGCTAATCTGTCAATTTCATGACCGACAGAAATTTGAGTCCTAGCGTTGGCATCACAATATTTCCTCCATTCTCTTGACCACATGAAGATGTTGTTGTTGTCAATTTACGTCGCACTAGATCTGCACACTGGGCTATTGGCGACGGTCTGGGAAACATCCCTGAGGATGATCCGAAGACATGCCATCACAATTTTGATCCTCTGCAGATGGGATGGCACCTCCGCTTCGGTAGCCCGACGACCTGCATATGAGGTCGAGCAGTTTACGGTAGAACACTTTAACGAGAGCCAATACCGCACACCATCGGTTCCTACGCAGACTGATCTAAGTGGTCACCCACCCGCACACTGACCGCAGCCAGTGATGCTTGACTTAAGTGGTCTGTTGGGAACCGTGTCTTAACGATCAGTCCAATGTGGGACGACCACATGAAGAATATTCAGTGCTCTGCCCTTCTCAATTTGTGACCATGAGCTATTTGAATACGATACTCTCAATCACGCAAAGATGGCAGCACGTTAAACCTGCTAAACTTACTTTACGGTTTTGAAACCATGCTGGTTGCAAATGGTTAAAAAACAGTATAGTTTAGTATACATGGTTTTTTAACCTTACTAGTTGTAAACGGTTGCAAACCGGAAAGGTAAAAATGTTCTTTATCGTAAACTTTACTGTTAGTTGAATGAACAGACTGTTGCCGTTTATTTTACCATGATATTAGAATGATAATTCTAACAGTGTAGTGTATTAAAACCAGTTATATTATTATAAAGAACTTAATACTTTTTTCAATTCAAGAATTACTTGCAATTTTTGAAGAAAAAAAATATTCTTGAGAAAAACGAACGCGTTTCCTTTAAAAAGTAGTTGAAGCAAGTAAATTGACAGAATAAGAAAAATAAAATTCGAGAAAGTAATTTAGAAGGAATGATTGAAAAAGACTTTTGCTGGATCGACGAACACTTAAATACTTTCCTAATTTAAGACATGAGTCTTCTTAAAATGGCGATAAGCTACAGAGAGCAAAACAATTTGACTCGCTATTTTTTTCATTTCAAGAGAAATAAAACAGAAAATAAAATTCATTGCTTATTTTCTTTTTGAACGAGTTTTTAGAGAAGGTGAAGAAAAAGAAAGAAATAATAAAAGAATGACTAAAATGTTAATACTTTTCTATGTATATACAGTTTTTAATAACTAAAGTCATTTATCATTTATAGATTGAAGTGAAAGAAAATTATTTAAAAAAATTTTATTCCAAAAAATAGTAAAAAATCCATATCTTCTTTTGCTGAAAAAATTATTCGAAGAATTCGCAAAAGAATTCGTACTATTATAAGAATTCATGAACATTCTCAAGAATAAGAGAGTCTCGCAAAAAATTAAATAGTATTGGTTTAATTAATATATTATTAGCATATTCTTACTCAAGCGAGAAAAATAATTATAGGACAGCATAATATATTACTTATTTAAATAATTCATATTAAGACCGAAAAGTTCTCGCACGGAGAAAAATATTGTAGTTAAATTACAGTACTGTATTGTAATGATATTTCTGGTAAGAAAAACATAAGTTTAGTTAATAAAACCAAGATATATGGTATTTAAATCTTTAATTTAGTAATTTTTACGTTCATGCGATAATAGTTTATCGGAAATTCTGGTTTTCTTATTACCACTTATTTAGTCAAAAATTTGAAACTGATAAGTAAATTTAACCGAATAAATGGTTTTTAAGTCATGCTTAAGGTGTCATAATAAAATTACCAAATTTTTCCTTATTTACCAAATTTAAACATAAAATCATATTTTATTGTTAACTTTACCAAAATCATTAACGCTTTTGTAAAAATTAACGAGCTTTTTGGTGTTCTCATAGAGCACGAAACACGGTAGAATTTACCACATTGTGGCAGTTTTCCACATTGTGTGACCATAATTTTTTTCTCAGTCTAGAAAAAAATTTTAAGCAGGGCAAAAATTAAAACCAGAAAGCGCAAACAGTTTTAAGGAAAAATAACTGCTACACTTTCTTAATTTGTATAGAAAGCTTCTGTTTGCATATCATTAATATAGAAAAATAACACGAACAACTAACTCTTCTTTTATTTTTTAACTATCTGGAGAATTTAAATATTATTTTCGAGACAGTAGATTGTCAATATCTAAAAACAAGCTTTATGAATATTTTTTTTTTCATTTTAAATTGAAAGAAATAACTTTATTCTCAGCAGAAAGTATTCTCTCTATTTTTTATTTATTTTACTCCTTTGTGCCTGTTTTCATTATATAAAATATTATACAATACATTACACTAAGGAAAAAAAGTTTATCTTGACTAATTCAGGTGTGGAGATTTCAAATCTAAAATTAGTTTTGCTCTTAAAGCTACATTTTTTTAAAAATGACATTTTTAGTCTATTTTATTTAAAACCGAAAACGCTATATATAGCTAGAGTTCGGGAAAATGTTGCTACAAACTTCTAGAATAGTTCAGAGACATGATAAGGATTAGAATAGCATCGAAACCCATGGTTAGAAATGGCTAGAGGCGTTTCCAAATTATGACCTGTTCCGAAGTATACGCAGGAACAGTTTATAATTGGTAAGCACCTCTAGCGGCGTATGATGATATTTCTGACATGGTTTCCTCTGCAATTTTAATCCTGATGATGTGCTCCAACTCCTCTAGAAGTTTGTCGCAACAAACTTCTAGATGTTCCATGCGACCTCTTATGTGGCCAAATGGTCGAGTGGTTGGCGTGCCTGACTGCAAAGCTAATGGCTGCGAATTCGAATCCCGCTCAGGGCATGGATGTTTCTCTCTGTGTCTTGTTCTCTATTGTGTGATGTGTGAATGCGACCCACCCTATAAAACGGGTTTCTGTGGCAGTGTGGCGTGGGTAATGTTGCTCGCCACCGTGACTTAGGTTCACAGGTGCCCATTGGGTAACTTTGAACGAGTCCGGCATCTTCTTGGGCGAAGTACATAAAAGTTCAGTGCCTGCCGTTAGAAATTTTTTTTTTTTATTTCGACTAAATATTGACTAAAATTGTCATTATATTGACTACTTATATAATGACTAATTTATATTGACGAAATATAATGACTAAAAATGTCATTTTTTAAAAAGAAAAAAAACTGTAGCTTGGAGAGAAAACCTAATTTTTTATTTGAAATCAGCGATACTAAAGTATATGACATCTGTTAAAAAATCTCAGGCAATAGGGAAAAAAATGTTCCCCGTTGTTATAAATGAAAAATATTGATTATTAATCAATTAATAATCATTAGAAACATAATAGTAATTAAACTTTCTCATATTTTTAAGCTTTCATGAGGATTGATAATTTAAAATTACTTTAAGGAGAGGATCTAGTCATTGTATAAAAATAAACTTCTTTAAAAATTTTTTTTTTTAGAAAAGGTATATTTTTATATTATCTATAGTATATTTTTACGTATAGGTATATTTTAATGTATTATCTTCTTATAAAGAAAACTTTTGTCCCCACATACAATAATGCAGAAATACGAGAAGAATAATTAACTCTTCCCTCATTTTTATCTGTTATGAGAATACTATGAAATAATATTTTTGGATGAGGAGCTTGTCATTATCTAAGAATAATTCTTTTAATATTTTTTACTCCATAACAAAAATAAAAATTTCCGTTTAAAGATCTCGTAAGTTAACCTTCTTGACACCCTAAAAACTTGAAGAGTTATTAAATTCTCTTTTGTAACTGTCAAAACTAAGTAACATACAATAACTCCTCTTGTCTATTTGAGGGGAATCTCTTTTCGCTGAAGAGGCACAAAATAAGATGAAGTGACATATCCTGTCATTACCTTTCCATAAAGTGAGGGATGAACTATGAGGATGTAACGGTTGATGGCAATAGCAGTGATGGAAAGGAGTGAGAGGCCCACATTCACGTATCGAAGGAAAGGGAAGAGGACACAAAGTGTATCTCCATGAACCCATCTAAGATTGATGAAACGGGATGCAGAAAAGGGAAGATTGATGCAACAGAAAATAAAGTCCGCTACGCTTAAGCTGATGATGAAAGCTGCTGTGGCACTCCGAACTCTTGGACATCGCATCAAGGCGATGATGGTTAAAGCGTTGCCTGTTAGTCCAACTATGATGATCATGATGACACAGAATGCGGAGAAATAGAGCAATCCTTTTCGTTCTAAGATGCTTGGGAGGGTTGTGACGGGATCGACGGAAGGCCATTCTTCTCTTGGAAAGGCCATTTTCATAAATCAAGGGACACCTGAAAAAAAGAATAGGAATTATGAGATGGGATTGTGAAGCGAGGAGTTGTTAGCGACTTACCTTACCATTTTTTTTTTAGAAAAAAAAGCAAAAAATCAGCGTATTTTTTTATTTTATTAATAAATACAAGGAACTGAAACAAAACATAATACACAAGTTCTAAGTTGAAATTTTAATTTTTTTTATTTGTAAAAAATATTTAATTTACCATCAGTTTACTATCCCAAATTATCTCGGACAGAAAAAAGTTAAATATAAGTCTTTGTATACGTTCACATTTTCATAATATGAAAAATCATCTGCATTACTTTTAGTTTCGCTCGCAAACGCTATTTTTTTACTCTTTTTTCTAAGTTAATTCATCAACCATCGTATATACAATTGTGTACAAAACGCGTCTGCAGTTCTACAAATAGCAAAACTCCCAAACAAAAATTGGCAAAATTCCAATCACAGAGGATTATTATTATTTTTTATTTTGTTTTCGGTCGAATGAAAATGTGATAAAACAAAAGCATTGACGAATTTTGTTATGCCCGAGTTTATTCGGGATAATAAATATTTGCAATATACTATATATATTTGCAATACATACCCGAGTTAACTCGGGATGATCAGGGAAGCGGTTAAGTGAGAGTTCTCTTTAATTCGAATAACAATCATTATTTTTGCTATACAAATATAAATTCCAGTTTCTTTAAAAGAAATATCTGTGTAATTTGTAATGATTGTATCCGAGATGGCTGATTTTAATAATGAGAATAAACTGAATAGACAGAAGATGGGATTGTAAGCAGGATTGTTAAGTAAGAGTTTATTGATTCAGATCATAATGCAAATTTAAATTTCAGTTTCTTTGAAGGAAATATTTGTATAATTAATAATAATTGCATCCGTGATGAATAGTTTTAACAATAAGAATAAATTAAATTGATAGGAGATTGGAAAAATACAATTTTTTATTTTTTATTTTTATTTTAAGGAATCCAATTTTGATTTATATTTTGGGAAGGACTTTATAGGAGTAAAAATATTTAAATTTATTAACTGAATATTTAATGCTACGTTCAAAAAAAACTTTTTAATTAAAAAAAATACGCAATGTTTTAAATGCCTTTGTAGTAATAATAACTAAGTATTATAATTTTCAATCTGGATAAAAATTTAGTTATTGCCTTTCTATTTATTTTTTATTAATAAATTATTTTTCAATCAATTAATTATTTATTAGTAAAATTTAATTAATTATTTATTAGCTAATTTATTAATTAATGAGTTTATTTTTCGCTTATTAAGTATTATTATTTATTAATTAAGAATAGAATTTGGAACCAGAGTATTAATAAAAAACACATTAAATGTACTACAAATTAAAATATGTACTACTTTCCAGATCCATTTATTATTCTCAACTTAACTTCAATTATGAAGACAAAGTGAATAGAATAGTCAAAATAACGTCTGAAAAGTATTGCATTGAGAAATCTAATGCATTATTAAATAATCTCTGTTGAAACTTGTTATGTGAGTGAAAACTGTGACGAGGAAAGGGAAAGTTGGACTCAAAATTCTATGTTTGTTACAAATTAACACTTTCCTCTTAAATTTTGGACTTTATGGCCGCTTTAAACAAGGCAAATCAAGTTAAATAAAATAATAAAAGCTAATAAAAGCAAATAAAAAATAAAAGCAAGGCTAATCAAGCTAAATTAAATAATAAATTTTTTGCCGCTTTAGGCATCATAGTGACTTAAAATGCAACCAATTCGAACAAAAACTATAATGAATGAATTCTTACAGAAGAAAGATGCAAATTCATTGTCAGCAAATCAGTACAAAAAATGTTAATAATAAGACAAGAATTATGCACTAAAAATTAAAGGCAATTATCTTATGGAGAATATCTATAAGTGTTGGTTTTCAAAAACAAAAAATTGGTTACATCATTTTTTTAAAAAATATTCTTAAGAAACATTATTGTTTGTTAAAAAAGGATAAATTAGTATTATAAGAGAAATTAGCGTTTTTTTTGTTTATCCTCTGAATTTTTACTACATGGTCTACTCAACATAATAGTTTTATTCATAATAATTAAGAAACTATGTATTATGAAGTTGAAAGAAGCATAACATTCACATATCGTGAAATCTTTAAATTTTCATCACACTTTGGCCTAGACGAATCGCCGGTATCCATTTCATATATTTTTTCTGAAGCTCTAATTACAATAAAAAATATATATAGGTATTTTTTAATTATAAGATAATAGTCTAATACTTACTAAAAGATTCGTTAGATTATCGGAGTTAAATTTGTTTTAAAATGTAAAATCCGAAAAAGTAGTAAACTTTTCTTTCTCACCTAGTTTTAAAAATTTATCAGTAATTAATTTCATAAATTAAAGAAATTTCAATAACGAATAACTGTTTCTATTACTGTAAATAACTGCACATTTTAAAAATTATAGCTTGGAAATGAACCTTATTTGGAAATTTTACCTTTAACTCAGAAAAAGACATGTTTCATGCTGTGTTTCATAACCATACATTATTAAAATGCTAAATATGTACAAAAATATGTTTTATTAAAATGCTGCATCATAGAGTTAAAACAAAATATAAACTAGCAATGCCGGTGTTGCAAAATTATATTCCATTTCTATTTCAAAATAGTTTTAAGTTATTAGTCTTATTAAGATGTTTATTCCAATTTTCTGTCTGCTTCCATTTCATTTTTTAAACGATATGTTATTTTTTATAAATGGTTAAAAGTATGATTTTGTTTATTTTTCAATTTACATTTGCCAAAAAAAGATTTAACACATGATTTTTTTTATAACTTGTATTGCAATGCAAGTTATTAATATACTTTCGTAAAGAGCAAGCTTGTTGATATAAGAGACTATATGAAGATAGTTTACTTAGTAGGCTTGTGACATGGGCTATAATCCGTTGAAATGAACTGAATAGAAGGTTTGTGACGTCATAAATGGGCTATAATCTGTTGACATGAACTGTTTTATAATTCCTAAAGCTCTGGGGATTGAAAATACTAATGGCAGATGTTTGTGAAAATTAATCTGTTATAATAATCTTCTATGAAGGAAAATCGTTTCCCAATAGAGTTAAATACAGTAGCGATTGATTAAATTTTTGTAAATTTTTTGATTTTTTGCTATAAAGCTTTTTGTTTTTATATGGAATGGTTGCGAAACTTTTGATCTAATTTAAAGGAGAAAGAAAAAAGACATTAACTATATATAGAATATGTTATATTTAGCAAATTAAAGTAATGATTTTTCTAGCACTGAAGTAGTTATATTTTAAAATCCACATTTTTGACATTACCACGTTGATGGCGTATTTTACATTCAATTTTAAATCAATTTATTTTTAAATCTATTTGAGTTTTTTTTAATGTGTTTTGCAATAGTTTGACTGAATCGGCGCTGTGTTAGTATGTACAATTAAAATAGTATACAAATCACGTAGCACTTATTATCAGTGGTCATCTTTTTTACTATTCACTATTCATATTAGTAATTACTATTCACTATTTTTGTAATTACTATCTTTATTTTCATTGTTTGAAAATCAAGAAATTAAAATGCTTGAAAACAATCTATTTGAAAAAAATTATTTCAAGGGAAATTCCTACAAAAAAGAAATTCCAGCCAGTGATTCAAATCAGGGATTCCTATCATAAATTGAATAAATGCTTTTAATAATGAATTTCTTTAATTCATGAAGAATTCCCATCGTCAATCGAATTGGGAATCTGAAGAAAATAGAAAAACAATGATTATTAGTGCAACTACAGCACTCGACATAGAGTAAACGTGTAGTTACAGTAATTTATTAAAAAAACATAGGTTTGTTTTGTACATTTAAATCCATTGAAAAATTACCTATTTTTCTTCATTAAAATTTGGATATTTTAATATAGTTTTATTTTATTAAAAATTCGATTATTTTTTGTAATTTGAGGGAAATAAAATTTAATTTATTTTAAAAATGTTACTAATTTTTAAAAAAGGTCTTATACTTGAAATACAAAGTTTGAAGATCTTTCTGCTCAAAAATCATGGTATAATATTTTCTAAATAAAAAAATAACTTGTCGGGATCCTTGGTAATATAAAACAGTTTAGGCGAAAGTGTTAGCAATTCAATAAATAAATCGTGAGTCAACCTATATTTGTGCACCTGACAGAATTCTGAAGTAAACATAGATTAGATTCCACACGAGTTTAATGTTAAATAAATGTAGTAGGTTTTGAAAATCCGGTGCACTAAAATCAATCAAGAGGTATAGACTTAACGATAAATAAACACAATATGCATCCGGCATTATATACCAAAGAGTGTCATAAAAATATATAAACTTAGTATATAACTTTAACCGAATATAAGTTTTGAAAATATAATACTTAGGTTTTATAATAACAGAAGTAGCTGCTAATTATTATTCTTGTGTATTAGGTGTCCAAAATCAGGTTATTTTGATTATCAGTACAATTAAAATTAAATAAATATCTAATTTTGCTTAATACAAATGCTCAATGTTAGTTTATTTGAATTCCCAGTACAATTAAAATTAAATAAATATCTAATTTTGCTTAATACAAGCGCTCAAAATCAGTTTATTTCAATTTACAGCACAATTAAAATTAAACAAATAATTAGTTTTGCTTGATACAAATGTTCAAAATCAGTTTATTTGAATTCCCAGTGCAATTAAAATTAAATAAATATTTAATTTTGCTTAATACAAATGCTCAATGTTAGTTTATTTGAATTCCCAGTACAATTAAAATTAAATAAATATCTAATTTTGCTTAATACAAACGCTCAAAATCAGTTTATTTGAATTCACAGCACAATTAAAATTAAATAAATAATTAGTTTTGCTTAATACAAATGTTTAAAATCAGTTTATTTGAATTCCCAGTACAATTAAAAACGAATAAACATTTAATTTTGCTTAATACTAATGTTCA